AACATGACTTCGAAGCGCGTTAAAACCAATCAGTGTGTACAGAACCGAAGCCTCCGCTTCTTCATAATCCACAACGAATGCAGGAAGAGGACGCAGAGAACGTAAACGGAAAGTGAAGGACGATTACGAAATGATATACATGGCGCTGACAGCGAAATGAGTCAGGGAGGGGTTGCAAATGCGGCGGCAGTGATGAATTACCGACCCCCAACGACAACCTGCAAGCCGGAGAAGAACTCCCAACGACACGCCTGCTCACAACCTGCTCCCCTCCTCCCCTGGGGGATCCGTGCCCACTATCCGTCCTGACGGACTTCATCGGCGAAGTTCGTCTGCGTTGACACCGCGACGCGTTCCCGACGAAACACATGTGCAACACTACGACGACGACCAGTAGGAAGACGACGAGAAGCAGCAGCGGGAGCTTGCGAAAGATGTCAGCCACGCGACTGACGACGACAACGACACTAGACGGAAGAGAACACGACCGACAACGTAACTGCGACGTCCTGCACACGGCGACACGTGCTTGGCGACAAACAGAAGCCGTCGTCTTCTGGACGCGCTGTGCCGCCTCAAATATTCGCATTTGCCGACCGTTGGCCGGTTTCCCGCCACGGCTGAAGCCCAACCCCAAGTTGCAACGCGGTGTGCACCTTGGGGATGCTACCGGCCCGCTAACGGTTACCGTTGGCGTGGACATCGGGCCTCTTGAACGTTGGTGACCCAACATGTCCGTGCGCAAGTCGCCCGGATCACCGATGGACCAGACGGCGCCGACAAAAGAAGTCGACTGAGGTGTCGTCGAAGAGCGGGTTCTTCCCGATGGGGGAGCTCCGAGGATCCTACCGGAGGTTCCTTGGGGAAAATTGAAAATTGCCTTTGCCCCGAGGAATCCCCGAGGAATCCCCGAGGAAATGTTTTCACATTTTTTTTTTCCCTTTCCCCGAGGACAAGTGGAACGACGATTTCCTTGGGGGATTTCGGCGCCTGAGGAGTGTCGAACGAGCCCCCTAGTCCTCATTGATAATGGCCACGCAAAGGTGCATTTGAACGTCGAACAACTTAATTAATAAATATATTAAATTTATTTAAATGATTAAATATCAATAAATGCATAGAATCCCTGGGGTGAAGTCCCACCGCCGAAGTTGAGTTTTCTCAACGCTGAGCTTTCTATCACGTGTGGCATGGTGGGACGGAACTCTGCCGTTGATGTATTGAGAATCTAAGGGTACCGAAATACAGGAGAATAACCTATTAGATTTGGTCATTTTGAAGATTTTTTTTTTGACGTGAAATCCGTTTTGTAGTATGCGTTGGCCCTTTTGGTTTGCTCGGGAAGCCATTTTCCGTTGAGAAAACTACCCTACCGAGGGTAGGGTACATTTCTCAACGTATGTGCCTTTCGTTTTTTTTGGTTTTTTAGATATCATTACACCCTGAAACGGAGGAACTCTGACAGCTGTGTTTGGCTCTCTGGCATCAAACTCTCTTCCTTCTTTGGGCAGTGAACGCATCTGGCCATCCATGTTGTCCCTGTCCATTTTACGAATGGTGACCTCCTGTCCCCTCACCACGGGAAGTATCCTTTTTCCACGGAGACATTCACTTCGACTGTGCCAGACGTGTTTCATTTCTCCGAGTTACTTAATCAAAAATAAGGAGAAAAGCTGTTTCTAGCGTTTTTTTTCAGTTTTTTATTTTTTTGTTTCGAATTTATTAATGTCAAAATGGTGTCACACGGTTGGGTTTTCTAAACTAAACTTGGGTGGTGGGACTTCACCCCTGAAGAGAAAATGCCACTGTTGGGCATCTCTCTTTTCTGTCCCTCCTTTTTGTTTTTTTTGTTTTTTTTAGGGGTAACTTCAGTAGAGTCACAAAAAGGAGTTATCCGCAAAAAAAAAAAAAAGGAGTTATAATTGCACTATATATGGGGGAAGATACAGTTTGCAATTATTGCACTTAGGGGGGCACCAACCTGGCCAGAAAGCTGGGTTGTATATATTGCAGGCCGGAACTGCAATTCGAAACTGTATCTTGGCCCACCAGACTGCAATTATAACTCGTTTTTGTAACTCCTGTGTAGTTTCCCCTCCTTTTTTTTTTTTTTTTTCCTTTTYTTTGACTACTTGCGTGTGTGCTCTGGTCATGCATGACAGATCGTGCTAGTGCATTTGCGGAACGAGGCCTCCGTCCAACTGCTCGTGAATAAGCGTTTGAGGAGGAGAGCGCTGAAGCTGCATGGAATAAACCCTAGGTTTCACAGGTAACTTTTTTTTTTTTTTTTTTTTTTTTTKAAWACATYTTTCCCTGGAGCAAGCGGATACTTTGCTGCTCAGTTCGAGCCGAGTGTGCGAGAATTGCCAATGCGTCGGTGTGCTGAGTGAGGTGTTGTGTTGAGTTTGGACACTACAGCCTTGCAGGGGTGGGTGTGGATATTACGACCTGTATGGTCCCACTTTTTTTGACACCGTGTCCTTTTTTTTTTTCTTTTTTTTTTTTTTTCTTTTTTTTTTTTTTTTTAACCCGAACAGGTGCTAGGGATGCTGGTACGAGCAGGCACCACTAGCACTATCGGGGGGCCTCCATCTATTGGTGGGGAGCAGCACCTGCAGGAAAATGGGTCCAGCGTCCCTGAACATTGTGGTTGTTTATATGAATGGACATGATTGTAGCAGTATTAGTTAAGATAAACCCTTAAACCCTAATGACTGTCCATCTTCCTATTGCCCGGGGTGCAGTCTTTTGGACTGCTGTGACCGTTGGATGTGTATTGCGTAAGTGTGGGGCTGATGTGGGGTGGGTCCACCACCCACACCGTGTCCTGGCTGTAGTGGTTAAGAGACTCGGCTCTTGAGGTCGAAGTCGCCGGTTCGAATCCATGCGTGGCACACGCACGGAGGAGAGCTTAGGCCCAGAGGTACGGATCCAGACAACAGCCAAAACCGTACCGTGAGGGGAGTTGTATAATACTCTCTTAAACCACTAGTACCTTTCCCGCGTGGGAAAATAGGGAAAACTGCCAGTTTTCCCAAACTCCTGAATATTCGGAGGTCGGGCCCGACGACGACTGCCATTGATAAATCTGATCGGCGGCTGTTATTTCGTTTCGGCCTCGGAAAAGGTCGGACGCCTACCCGAGGCCCGCTATTTTCCCAAGTGGCAAAATACCATTACTGCTCCCGATGAAATCCTTAAGTTGAGACAGCTCAGGTTAGGGGAGCCAACAGACTAAACACTTGTTGCCCGCTCGCTCTATGACCCTGTTGCCTCCCTTGAAGAAGGGTGCACTGGTAGGTGCATTCAGCCCGTGTCCCCTCCTGCGGTCCATGGAAGGCCACCACTTTCTTCGATCCCTCCCGCTTCGCTGCTGTATCATGCTTGCCGGTGATAAGCAAATGGGGTGTCGCTGCCCATAATAAATGGGGCAGCGAGCGTTACGTATGTGGGAAAACGGTACCTATATAAGCCCCAGGACAACCCCCCACCAACAGACCCCCAGGTGGCCTGGAAAAGTAAGGAAACAGCAATAAAAGTCCTGGGGGTGAACATTACAGCACTAGGCCCGCCCACTGACCATGGAGAATCGCTTGTGGACCTGGCCATCCATAGGATGTCAAAATGGGATACAAAACCCACGTCCCTGGTAGGAAGGGTCCTTGCAATTAACAATGCCATCTTTGCATCCATCTGGTACAAAACTGCCTTCTGGAAAATCGGCTGCAAGCAACTCTCCAGGCTGCAACAAGCCACAACAGCCTACCTATGGAAAAACAACCATGATGATAAGCGAGCCATAAGAAGGGTTGCATGGG